CGGGATGGTCATACCCGGTGGTTAGAGACACTGAGTGATATGGCTGGGTGTCGTAAACAGTGGCGTTCGTTCATCTTGCCGATTTTTCTGCAAAATCAGTGCAATGAAATCCTAAATCTTCTCTTCGATCTTACTTTCAACCTTTCATGTCTTTCTCCTCATGCTCATCCAAATGGGCAGCCAAAAGACAGCAACCAAAACCGGCGCACGATAATGCATGATTAATGGTTGCGCAAACTGAAACGGAAACTCCAACATCAGTTCCCTTTCCCCATTAGGCTCATCAGACCGTTGTCTCATTTCTTTCTCACTTATTTCTCTCACGCCATTTCTGGATTGTTACCCCTAGAAGGACTGTGTTTTTTAAATCGGATGTTTCTACGTCTGTTTCGAACTTCACGGAGATTGTTCTTCAAGGCATGTATCTGTCATAAACTGATGTGTTACCCTATTTCACATGAAACTTCATTAACTTTCCCTTTTTTACATTGTAGCTTTTGTACAACGATTGTTAGAAGATTAAAGCCTATATACGGCCAGACTCCTCCTGTGCATTACTCCGCATACAGTGACATTGAAGACGTAGGCAAAAGTATCTCGTGAGCCTTATTCACGGATAATATTATCTATGGCGCGTTGGAAGCAGGCTACTCCATTCGTAAATCCGTATGGAAGGCGGCGGAACTGATACAGCTTACCACATGCCTCAAAGGCTGTTTAAAGTTTATCTTCTTCGCAGATAGGGATTTCATGGTAAGCACTTTGAAGATCGAAGGTACTGAAGAGGGAGTAGTGAGACATTCTCTACCGGTTCGTCAACCTTTGTGAGAGGGTATGCATCAAGATGAGTGAATCGTTTGGCTATAGTCGACAACCGTGCGTTTCTTGTGTCTCTCATTTGTAGTCACAAGGACTTGCGCTCGCCAGAGTGAATCTGAAGGCTCGATAATATGGTCAATCAATAATTTTCGGATTTCGGTCTTGATGAACGACAGATCCGAGGCAGAGTAACGGCGTGATTTGGTGGCGATGGGAGTTCAATAAGGCGATAAATGCCTGAATAGAGGAGGAGCATCGACGTGTGCAGCCTTGAGAGCAAACAGGAAGAGAGATGGTCGGTGTCCGTGAAAGGGAATAACCATGTTTTTATGTTGACTGAGAAAATCGTAACCCAAAATTACATCCGTACACAGATTGTTTAAAACGGAAAGTTTAATTCTGTCATAGTGATTGTTTTTATAGTGTACAGAGGCGTAAACATGTCCAGAAGTGATACAAGATAGGCGCGGCGAAGCCATGGAGGGTGCTTTTAGAAGGCTCCACAGGCCAGTTGTGTTTCGCCGGAATATCTGATGATAGGTAGCTCTCGCAGCTACCAGTGTCTATAAGCGCGTACATCGGTACTCCTTTAATATGAACTAGCACTGTAGATTTAGACAGCCCAGTGGATGATGACGTAGCGATGAATGATGAAATGCTGAGATTCATTGCTGAAATTATGCGTTTGGTTTTAGGATTGGATCGACAGACCCCTTGGAAATGCCCCTTCTTCCCACATGAATTACAAATAGCTTCCCGGCCGGGACATTTGGAGCGGTGTCTTGGTCGCCCACAGAAAAATCAGAGGGTAGACACCGCTCCAATTAATTACTATCTTTCGGATTGAGATTCCGAAACATTTCGTACAGGAACCGGAGCTGCTACATCTGACTGCATGGATGTAGCACCGCATTATTATTATTATCGTACAGTAAAATACAGAGAAGTGAACTTCACTGATCGCTGCCAAACTCGCAATGCATATGCACTGGGGTTTGATGGACAGATACTGCTAGGGTGTCCAGCCACTAAGCAGGATAGGTTGAACCTCAGATTTGTGACTGTTGCTGAGCATGTTCCAACATGCGAGCGTCTTCGGATGCATGTTGAAGATCAAGATTGTACTTCTCCAAAAGTCGTTGGCGAATGCTATTAGAGATTGCTCCTGTGATGAAGGCGTCGCGGATAGCCTCGTCACGATGCTTTTCAGCAGAAACGGACAAGAAGTTACAGTCAATAGCGAGGCTGTGTAGTTTCTGTATAAACTGATCGACTGACTGTCCATTTTCTTGTTTAGTTGTTGCTAATACATGGCGCGCAAAGACTTCGTTTTTCGGTTTGATATACAGAGCTTCAATACCTCGATAACTTGTCGATAAATTGCTGGAGAGATGAAGTTGATAAGTAGTTTTCTTGTATCGACGTCGGGGATCTCCACCGTTGAAAGAAAATTGTCGGTGTCCTGTCAATGGATTCATTGCTTGGCTGCTGTAGGAGAATGACGATCAGCGTCAGTGTTCGGGGCGGAAGAGACGTTCCATCGTTAGAAGATTAAATTGTTACGTTCGAAAGATGCGGAGTAATGCAGAAGATGTGTCTGGCCGTATATATTCCACGCTTCTCCAAATCCGGCAAATCAGGATTTTTTAAGTGGTTTAATCATGTTTGCAACCGTGCTGCACGTTTTAAAAACTCAGCATTCCGTCGTTGGCGCCACTTACCCAATCCAGCATCCCGCAACCGCTTCGTGCAAGCCAGAAACATATGTCCGGTCAATATTCAGAGAGCTAAAGAACGCTTCATTTGTCATAAAGCTGCGCGCTTGGCTTCCTCCGCCATCGGTAACCGAACATTCTGGTCCCTCGCGAAAGCGGTTTTGTGTGATTTCTGCTCTTCCAACTCTCCTCCCATTTGCAATTCCTCTGGTACTCTTGTTTATGATCCCCACGAAAATGAAGAGGTCTTCGCTTCCCGATTTGCCTTCAACTCTACCTTATCTGCCGTCTCCACTGTTCAACCCTATTCCTGCACATCCAGTTACTCTTTTCCACCTATCATAACAACCAAAACGGTCCGCCATACTCTTCGTGGTTTAGATGTTTGTGAACCACCCGGTCAGGACGGTATTTCACTTGTCGTCCTAAAAATGTGTGCCCCGGAGTTAGTCCCTGTTCTACCCCACCTTTTCTGTTATTCACTCGAACTTAAACCTTTCCCTACTCCATCGAAAATCCCAAAGCGCCGCGACCCTTCTGACCCCAACAACTACCGTTCCATTACTCTTACATCCGTAATCTCGAAAGTGTTTGAAACCGTTACTTCCCACCAGCTGCGTACGTTTCGCGAACGCGAAGGTTTGTTAAATGACCGTCAGTATGGATTTCGCCCTCGTCGATCTACGGGTGACTTACTGGCGCTCACATCACATTCCTGGTCGGCTGCACTCGATAACCACGGAGAAACTCACATGGTCTCGCTCGACATTTCAAAGGCCTTCGACCACGAAGGTCTGCCGTCGAAATTACCCACTTTCGGATTCCTCCCGTCTATGGTATCGTGGCTTCATTGTTACCTCAGCAAGTAAACCTTCTCCGTCCGAGTAGATGGGGTCCCATCTCGGCCATTTCCTATAAACGTCGGTGTTACCCAAGATTCAATACTCTCGCCCACCCTTTTTCTTTTATTTATCAACGATCTTTTATCCCAAACATCTAATGCCATCCACTGCTTTGCCGATGATGCCACTCTCTATTGTTCTCTGTCCTACCCCACACTCCATCAAGCTAATACCAACATCGATTACGATCGTAATGTCATTAGCGCTTCTCTTGACTCCGATCTCGAACTAATCTTCGCATGGGGTTCTACCAACCATGTATTTCAATGCTTACAAAATTTTTCTTCTCTCAGTCTCTCTCAAACGTGTCTGCTTTTCTACTCAATTGATTTTTTTATCCTCCGCTTCTTCGTTCCACAAATTCTCTCTTCCTCCTGGGTGTATCCATATTTTTTTCTCTCTGTTGGTTTCCTTTTATTTCTACACTTGCCTCTCGTGCTGCGAGCGAAGTTGATTTTCCATTCCGTGCAAGGCGTTTCTTTACACCCAAGCACCTTCTTTTATACAACGCTCAAATCCGCCCGATGCTTGAATAATGCAGTCACGTATGGGGTGAAGCTTCCTACTCCGCTCTTTCTCTCCTCAAGCGTGTTCAACGTAAGGCCACCGGCCTGATCGACGAACCGTCTTTAACTTCCATCTGCAGTCGCTTTCCCATCACCGGGCAGTTGCTTCATTATCTCTTTTTTATCGTCACTATTTTGGTTTCTGCTCTTTCGAACTCGCTTCAGCGATTCCGCTTCTATTGACCTTCTCTCGTCCATCTCGTTCTCAGGCGGACAGTCACCCTTATCAGGTTTCTGTCCCCAAATGTCGGACTTCTATCTTTCAATCTTTTTTCCTCGAGGACTGCGAAATTGTGGAACACTCTTCCCATTTCCGTGTTTCCCCGCACTTAGGAACTTACTCTCTTCAAAATCAGGATCGATTCTTACTTGAACGATCCCCCACATACCTCCCCCTTACAGTATACCGTTGATTACGGGTTTACCCCTTTTGCTATAAATCACTTCGTATGCAATAAAAACAGCGCAAAATCGGCTACTAACCGGGATTCAGTCGAGAAATGAACGCTCAGCCTTTACACTTAACGCGATCCCTACTCCAGCAACATCGCGAGCTTCGGATGCCGAGTCACCTGAAGAGTGAAGCATGGAGATGAGGTCGGATCTGGAGATCTCAAAGTGATTATTGAAATAGGGTCTCGTATGCGTGCTTCGGAGACAGCACACATCTGAATTGAAAATCTCAAGGGTTCCAGCTAAAGCAGTTTGTTGACCGATCTGATAGTGTGCGGACACTAAATGCGGTTGAGTGAAAGGATGATTTTGGTCCAAAAATTTGTTAGGTTCTGGTTAGTTGACCTTATTAGTTGAATTACGAGTGACATCCCATGGGTAGCACAAACTGTAAATTTAGGAATGTGAGGAAGAACTGGACAGATTGGAAAGGTTTTTCCAAAGAGGTACTTGCGACTGTGGGGCATGACATACTTTACGGTAGCTCACACCAACGAAGGAGCTTTTCTCGGAGAACCCTGACTGGAGCATTTGACTCAGACATCTAACCCACAAGGCAGTGGGACGTAGATCCAACACGGGAGCGTGATCAACACACCAGTGTGGGAGCTTCTAGAGACCTGTCACGAAAGGTCTTTGGGTTTCGGTTCTTTGTATTGTTCGCTGGAGCGTTGACTGGTGGTCTGCTTTTATTGATCGGCCCATAGCCTTATGCACCTAATGAGAAGCGGGACGCGGACGGACAGCACCTTAGTGGCTGGGAGCTGCCCAACTCGAGCGTGTTTATTTGCTGGAATGACCTCTCTAGGGGCGAGAGTGGATAGTCGAAGGAAGCTAAGAGATGCCTAAGCAGCTGACCTTATGATACTGAGCTTCGTATGGTCTCTATCCATTGACCTTTCAGGCAGGATTGGATCTGCGGCTGAGGAGCCATCCTGTATAGCTCGCAGGGTCATGGAGGAACGCAAGCCATCACCACG